GCAAGTAAAAGTGCGCGCGCGTAGTGGAAAATTATGAAAAATTTTGAAATGCTCAAAATGGCCTGAAACATGCTCTAATTTAGTCAAAAAGTGATTTCGAGCATTTTGAAATTTTTACGCACGCGTGCGCGCACGTTTTTAAGCACACGCGTAAAATTAAGGTACAGTACATTCAACATTAACCCGAAGTTAATGCTCACTTAATATGATTTTGAAATGGCAATTGGTTAGGCTGATATGATCGATAATGTAAAAACGCAAAATTGCTGAGCGCGTTGAAAAGCTTACCATGTCTATTCTAGACCAAGACAAATGTTTGCTGACAGCGATTGTGCGTAACTCGTGGCATTTTTTGAGATATCGTGCGAACAGAAAAGGGGAGAAAGAAAGAAGAATAAGAAAAAAAAGATGATGATGATGATCCTGACAATAACAAGAGGTGATCCGCTAGTGTAGCGGATCACCAATTATTACTTTTAAATATTTCGGATTATTGTGTGGGGTATTACATTTTACAATAAATGTCCTAATACATGAAATAAAGGGGTCAGAATTCTTGGAATTGTATGCATGTACTTCGTCGACCCGCGGCGTTAAGCACATAACCAAAACAATACAAGGTAAAAAAAATAAACTATAGCGGACCAACATGATTTAAGACCATATCATACTTTTACACCAAAGGGTTTACTGGGCGCGAAGCTTTACTTAATTTCATCTGAGGCCTATAAATTCACATATAACGAATGAAAAAATATATATATGTGCGATAAGATATTTACAGTATCTATCATTTGATTTAAAAAAAAAAATAGGGCCTATGATCAACGTTGAAGTTACAAGTTACTAATTAGACCCCGGATCGATTTAGGCTTATGTGGGCTACATTTGGCAGGTAATTTTAAAGCGTAAATCGATTTTGCCCCCGGACCAAATTTTTCCTGACAGGCCATATTATGGTGAAGCCCAAAAGAAAACCGATCCCGTTCCGATGTTTGTAATATGAAAAATATCCTCTGCGATTTTGAGAAAATTACCGTTTTAATACGTTCCTAGGACACCGACCGTCAAAAAACACACTGCGACAGAACGTGGTAGAAGCATGTCGCGATCATACCATAAAACGTCCACTTGTGTCACCTCGGATGAAATCGCGTCATTTCAGGTCAAATCGTGTCAAGTAATGTCAGATTGCGTCAGTACACGTCAATTCGCATCCGCGAACAGCATACTGTATTATTGATGAGAAATATCAATGAAAACACATATTTTATTTTTGTAATTGCAATCTTTTCACGTGTATTTCAAAACAATAACTGTGGAACAATTAAAAAAATGTATAGTTTTTTGACAACTTCTGTTGTCTTTCTTTTGTCAATGCGTATGCATATTCATTGTGTGTGCTATATAAACATAAATGTTTATTAACTTATGTAAAATTCACACTTTATTCCATCAGTATTTAAAAAAAAAAATTCATATTTAATATTTTTAGGTATTGTATTGATTCTGAATTTAATTGTAATCATAAATTTAATAAAGAAAATCTTAAACTTGATGCATTGTTATGATGGACGTGCATGGATTTGGATGTATACTCCCACTGACTTTGGTGGACAGATTTCTATGAAATAGAAAAGATGTTTTAAATTTGTTAATATGAAAAATTCATATTTATTTCAAACATTCTAAAGGCTCCTTCTTCCTTCCTCGACTTTGCTTATACATTATATAATGTACAGTACTACACATGTGATCTGATGATCACCATTAAGTTCTTTATTGGCTAATCAACAAACATATTACAAAAAGAAATGTTTTCTATACTCCTGTGTAGTATTTACAGTATATACAACATTTTTATATTGTTTAACTTAAGAAAAAATAAATAATGCTTCCATACTCTTGTGTCATTGTGTATTTCTTCAAATGGCTCTTATGTTCTTACACTCTACTCTGTTACTCTATTAATTTTCTATATTTTATATTTTTTTTTTAGAATAATAAAGCTTTTCATACTCTCATGATGTCTTATGGTTCTAATGTTATTACACTTTCATGAGTTAAGCTGTTTCGTTTCAATTTACCTTTTTTTTCTTAAATGTTAATAACAATGTTATGCCATTAAATTCTTTATTATTTCAATGAAAGCTATTAAATTACTAAGCCTCAATTAGAATTTTATATATATATATGAATATTGCTTTTTGAATCACAAACACTGTTGGCAGATCTTACATCGGGATGTAAATTATCCCACAGTTTAGGACCATACAATCAAACGCCTTTAGATGCAAAACATATTTTGTTTTTCTTTCATTATGTGTATGTTAGCAAAGAATAAATATAGTAGCAGGACTAGAAATTTACTTTTTCAGTCACTAGCAACCTATAGACCGTGGGTTGAGGCTCGAAAATCGGCTTAGTTAATGAATTCTGTGACCCACCGATCCGGGCTACCTGGCATTCGCACAAAAATGTCAATACTATTTTATGGTAACATAAAATGATTGTCGGCAATCGTGAATTTGGGGAAACAAAACCCGGTAACTAATGTAAACAATGTCGCGAGGAAAATTGCAGTGTGTACAATA